CTATGCAAACTTTCTACGGGAGAGTATCTTGTAAGTTATTTATATTTATTTTGAAAGTCGAGATGGATGGATGGTGAGATAATTAAAATATATTTGATGTTTTGGTCAGAGTAACAAACGCACATCTACTTAACCAAACAAATGCTCAAGATGCCAAGGGACATGGCACAATAAGGCAACTTGCAGAGCTCCGATGAGTTGAGAGTGTAAGGAAGTGTAAGGAAGATTTTTTTGGGATATTTAATGCTCTATTGTAGTTCTAAGTAGGCTAAACAGATGTATAACAATGATCTGATTTTTTGGGAGATTTCATCCTTTATTCTAGCTTTGAATAGGCTAAACAGATGTATAACACTCTAAATGTGCACTTGTGGTGACAGTTGAGTGTTATTCCCATGTTTAGTAGGATTCTAGTGCAGTTAAATGTGGATGAACCATAATATATTTTGTTGTAATATTTTGATGTAATGCACTCTYCTTAAACTGTTATGATGATGAAATTAGTGTACAATATTGCATGCATGTGTAAGGTAGTGTACCTGGCCATGTATGTGTAAAGTATCTGACAGAAAATATATTATGGTGTACATGATATAGGTGTACATCTGTAGTGTACATTGAACTGTGTACATGATATGGGTGTACATCTGTGGTGTATACCGACGTACAGGTCGGGTGTACGTTATGATTTTGTGTACACAGAGCATCATTGGTGAAATTTTGGTGGTATGATAAGTTAACAATGAAAAACAGCAAAGAAAATGTGAAAATATGTGGATTAAATAGGTGGATTCCTACAAATGCAAACTAAAACCCCCAAAAAAATGGTAAAAAATATACATATGAAATAGGTGGATTAAATAGGGGGTATAAAATACAAAAAATACCCGATAAATGGCCCATAACATATTGGGACTTCGATAAACAAAGCAAAGGCTACTGCATCCAGGGATATGAGGCATGATATACATGCGAGAAGAAGTGGGATGCTTCTTTTAACTTTGTGTGTGGTACACTCATCATCAAAGTCAGAGTCTTGAGTGGTTGTGAAACGACCCGACCCAAAAATTTAAAAATTTCTCTTCGGATTATTATCATCACAGATAATAATCCTCAATTGGATCAATATAACGTGCGGAAAACATAAAACAACTAAACCAACTCAATCAATTCAATGATCCCATAC